AAGATGAGCGATACAATGAGATGAAAAGGAGATACTTGAAAGAGCATGGAAAGAATTGTTGCTCTTTGCACTTCATTTTTTGCACGACTGTAAGAAGTCCGAAAAGCTTCAAATTCGTGACTGATAAACACATGGAAAATCAACCAAAAAATTCACACTTCACAGCGTATTTGCAAACACCTTAACAAGAACCAGCAGCTTCAGATAATCACTCGCATTCCTATAAGGCCCGAAGAAGTAAAAAAAATTCCATGAAAAGCACCCTCGAAAAAGAAAAAGTCAAAAAACGTCTGCAGGAAAAAAACAATCATCGACCTTTCTCGGAAATGTCCGTAAATATTGACGTACTTTTAGAAGATGATTACGGTACTTGTTGCCGTAAATATGCAGTTGCGTCATCTCAACTGGTCCTTGTAGGTGTTCTTGGTTTTTCGTACTTTTTTAGATTTCGGGAGGTTTTTTGCGAGTAATACTTCCAATTTGCGGTAAAACTCGGGTTCGGGGGGGGGGGCACGCGATGGCGCGGCGCTCTGTTCGTCTGCTCCTCCAAGGCTTAGTCCACAGGGACAGTTACTCTTTCGCCATTATGTGGCAGTTTCAAATACGCGCCATCGGTGACTAAGCCTTGGTAGAGCAGGGGCCGTAAGGTATGCTCCCCCAAACAGGAGAGGGCCGTATGCTGAAAGCTTCCGGGAAAGGCCACGCCCACTGGTTCTCGGGGTAATCTCCCCTCTGCAGTCCGGGAGATTCCCCCGAGAGTTTTTGTGGAGAGCATACATTACCAGGGAGAGGTCCCTCTCCTGTTCGGGAAGCATACCTTACGGCCCAGACAAACAGAGCGCCGCACCATCGCGAGCCCCCCCCCGAACCCGAGTTTCACTCAATTTGCAGTTACAATATGTCCTCCATGGTGAGCAAAATGTTTGTTTATCAGCGCTCAATATTATACTCGTTTTTTGAATGAGCAACTCGTAAAAAGAATTCATGTGCCTATGCCAGAACGGGGAATGGGTGGCGACCTATTGCTGAGCCGCATACAGGAATTCCATCTTTGGCGCTCCATCGGGCGTATTGTAAGGAGATTGTGATGCAACGTCAAGTGGTTGCCCTCACCCCTCCACCCCCTAGACTGGCTTCACTCCCCCTGGCTCACGGGGTCCCGTACTTCAAGAAACCTGTGCGCCAGGGGGAGTGTAGCCAGTCTAGGGGTGGGGTATGATGGCAGCCACTTGATGCCCCCCCCCCTTGTCTGGTACTGACGCTCCGCATTTTTTGTCAATGGGCCATCCCCGGGTATTGACTCAATTTCGCGTTTCGCTTTCAACCCAAGCAAGAGCTTTCCTCACTCCTGCGAAGCGAATTGAATTATTCCAAGGAAAGGAGAATAATCTTAAATATACCTCTTCCTATAAGATAACCCGGCGAATTTTTCGAAGTAATGTTAGCTTGAAGAAAGTTTACTTATTTCAGGTGAGCAAGCCTATTTGAGCCGGCTGTGATGTTGTCAAAGCTGGCTCTTAACGGCGGAACGGCTGTATTCCAGAAGTTTTCTGTAGTTAGTGCCATACGGTGAGTACTTCACTATACGGTCTGTCGATATACTTTGCAAACCCCACTCTGTGAGTCTCACTATGTGAAAAACTTTAAAATTACTCCTCTCATGGAAATCACAATCCCCTCGTCTGTCGCCCTTGTTGAAAGCAGGCCGTCTTGGAGGTCTATGTCTTAGCACGTGCTATGTTCCCCTTTTAAGGTTGGCTTATTATTGAAACAGTGATCTTGGAATTCAGAATTCATAGGACCTGATTGCAGGTATGCTGAATGCAAAAGCAAACCTCACCTCAGTAAACGAGCTGATCATTTGAATAAGGAATATCTCAGTACTAAGAGCCTTCACTTTCCTTTTATGACATTTGGAGCCTAATTAAACCATACTTTGGTTGGTTTTTAGCGGCTGTCATAGTGAGTCATTATACTTTCCGTTTTTGTTTTCGATTTCAGAAATATCGTGCATGTATGTCCTTTTCCATCTTCACAATATTGGTCATCCGTAAAGATCCTCACTGTATTGTTAGAGCCTTAGAAAACAAGCACCGGGTTTATTCCGGTAGGGGGCAGGGAGGGTTAGCACTCCGTGCAACGGTGGCACCTCCAATTCTTCAAGGACGGGAATCTCCGGGCAGGGCGTGAAAGCCAACAGTGGCACCTACGGCAACCCCAATTCTCCAAAGGCAGGAATCTCCGGGAAGGGCGTGAAAGCTAAAGGTTCGAGCATTCCGGCGCTCCCTTCCACTGCAAAATTTGATGTAACTGAGATTGCACGAGCTATTGCACCACAATCCTATTTCTCTAATTGGAGTAGGCGCCAATATGTTTAGTAGCCTTTCACTCCACCTTCGTAGGAATTGTTTCAATTAAATTTTTTCAGAGCGCTGTTCTTGCCGCAATGGTTAATATACAGTTGCCCATATACCTCGGTGAACTTATCGACAAAATGGTTCAGATCATCAAAGGTCGGTATAATTCAACCGTACTGCTTCCTAATTTGATTGCCAGCAAGAAGAAGGGGCGAAACAATAGAGACGTTATGGCGCACGGTCACGCGCCAAAAGCTAAGCTTGAGGATTAAGTTGGGATTTAGTTGTAGAAGTGTTGTTTCCATTCTTTTCGGTTACCTCACCGTTTTTCGACCGGATTGCGCATTCCTCAACATTTGGATCCTGCAATACCATTTTTAGTTGGACTCCATAGCGCGCGTAACTCTGCTGCGAAGAATAGTCTACTCATAAGAAACCTTGAACTAAAATCGTCCAATAATGCAATGCATTCACTGTTTTTTTTCTGTTTTTTTTTTCGGAATACGATAGTTTCGATGGATATTATGCCAACATTTTGCCTCAGAAATAAAATGGAAGTTTCAGTAATAGGAATGGAAATTTAGCGCATGCCCCGTCCATTTGGTTCGGTTGTGTCTGCTGTCGCGAATGATTTTGGTCAAACCCCGCCTACTACGGCACAAGCCCCAAGAGCAATTGCCTGCCCCCACGGGTCATACTACACCTAATTTTTATGTTTCGATAGCAAATTGACCGGCTGACAGATAAATGGGCTCTATTTCACATTCCATACATTTATGATAAAGATAGTCTATTTCTCATCTCGTTCAGATCAATCAAAGGGACTGGAGACTGATTTAAATATTATTAAGCCTGAAGCGATCAAGCTTGTCCTGTGTTATACTGCTCAGGCAGTACTTACATTCTGTTATATAACTTTCCTAACCATACTTGGAGAGCGCATGGCTGCTGACCTTCGTGTCAAGTTGTTCAATCGACTACTTATCATGGACATGGCCTTTTACGATAGCCAGGTATAAATATTTTCAAGCAATTCCTACTTGCTTTTGTGTTTATTCTACTTCTGTTCAGAGGACATCTGAACTGTCGGCCCGATTGAATAGTGATGTACAAGAGTTTAAAAGCTGCTTCAAACTCACTGTTGCTCAAGGATTGCGAACACTTACTCAGGTTTTCATTCGCTTGCTTATTTCTCTGTCTGGGCGTTTTTCCAGTGATAAGGATTTGCCCATTCTCATCTCAAGACACACTTTTTTTAGGTTGCCGGTTGTGTTATTTCACTTATTCAAATTTCTCCACAAATGACATTATACACTGTGTCAGCCGTTCCCATAGTCATTACATTCGGTGCATTGTTTGGAGCATTGTTGAGGAGCCTCAGCAGAAGGTTTGACCTAGAGTTTCACTTTTTCTGCGGATTATCAGATTTTCCGTTCTGTCAATGATTTTGTGTTTTGAATGTTGTGCCTCTCATATGTCGCTTTCAGAGCCCAAGCTCAGTCTGCCGTAGCAGCTTCTGTCGCGGATGAAGCCTTTGGAAATATTCGAACAGTCCGAGCTTTTGCCATGGAGGAGCAAGAATCACGGTCGCTTTTCGGCGATTTTTCTCAAAATCCTATGTTTTTGTCCTTACAACGTGAATCGCTTCCAGACTATTTGAAAGAGAAGTTCGGAAGGCTTGTGCAATGCAGGAGTGGTTGGGGATGGGCATAGGATTGTTTCAAGGTATCCTATAGCGTTTCCGAGAGCTTTTCCCTCGAATTTTTGATAAAATTCAAGTCTCAATCATATTGTAGGTGCTACCAATTTCTTCTTGAATGGGATCGTTCTATCGGTCCTTTATGGTGGCTCTTCTCTCATAAAAGAAGGTTCCGTTGTTTCTGTGCATGCTTCGTAATTGAACTCATTGTTACCTCTTGACCTGCAGGGAAGATGACTCCCGGAGAGCTTGATGGCATTCCTTGTAACCGCACAAACGATTCAGAGGTCTCTGAGTCAGCTTTCAGTGGTATTTGGTACCGCGCTCAAAGGGTGGACAGCTGGAGCTCGTGCCTTCGAGGTTATTACTACAGTAATAGCCTTCATTAGGCTTTGTATACTGAAGTGATTTCAGTTTGTTAACCTTCATCCGAGCATACGAAATGACGACGGTGTTTGTATTGCGTATCACTCGCTCTGTGGCGAAGTTCGGTTTGAGAATGTGGCATTCGCATATCCGACCAGACCACATCACCAGGTCTTCGAGTGCTTGAACCTTACAATACCAGCTGGTAAAGTTGTTGCATTGTGTGGACCAAGCGGAGAAGGTAAACATAGGATATCTAGCCATAGTGGTTCTGGGTATTCTACAGTACAATCGGTTACAACTTTTAAAGGTAAAAGTACGATCACCTCGCTGCTGGAACGGTTCTATGAGCCGCATGCTGGACGAGTACTTCTAGATAATCAAGATCTCAGGACATTGAATTTGGAGTGGTTGAGAGGACAGGTGTGTTTCTTAATGAGAAGAAATGTGAAATTATCGAAATCTAGAAGTGTAGTACTTACTATTTGTATGTTTCTTTGTTTGTTTTTATGCCTGTTTTTTATTGCACCTTATTTCTTAATCTATTGATTGAGAATAGCAAACGAAGCTAATCATTTTGTAGGCACGGCGGAGATAGTTCTTGCTTAGTTGTAGCTGTCATGAATTTGCTTATTGAAAGCGCCCTTAAAATTTTACGTACACCTATGTTTCAGGTAATTGGATTGATATCGCAAGAGCCGGTTCTATTTGCTACTAGTATAGAGGAGAACATTCGCTATGGGAGACCTTCGGCGACGGATGTGGAGGTGGGAGATTCCTCACGTCTAGTTCTTGCATGATGAACATGTTAGAGAAAGAAAATGGATAACAAGGTGACTAGAAATGAATACACTGGCACAGTAAGGTTGTTGTGGGGGCAACGTTTTTAGCTTTACGAGCAAATATGACAGCATCCGCTGGCAATTTGACCACCTTCTTGGCGATTCGCATCTCTATAACTACAGTTTCCAAATTCAGTGAAAAGTAGCGCCAGTTCATAAATTTCGCCAAGGTTGCCATTGAGAATTGATGGGTTCAGGGGATCTCCGTTTAGCTCCCTTTTTATCATGCTCATACTTGCTAGAGACACCCCAGAATGCAACAGCTTTTTTTTAAGTTGTGAGCTGATCGCTTAGATTGCTCAACCAGTTTGGGAGCGAAAGTGAGGATTTTCTTGTTTACAGGTGCTAGAGGCCGCAAAACTCGCAAATGCCCATGAATTCATCACCAGCTTCCCCGACGGATACCAAACTGTCGTTGGAGAACGTGGAGCGCAACTTTCTGGTGGCCAAAAACAGGTGCTGTGTTTCTTATACTCTTCATGGTTACGATATTTCACTCAACATATTGCAGAGAATAGCGATTGCTAGAGCTCTGTTGAAAGATCCTCCGATTCTGGTCCTTGATGAGGCGACCAGTGCTCTCGACACGGAAAGCGAACGTCTGGTAAGCATAGTTTTATTATAACGGAGAAATAAGTTTTGGAAGTGCTTTCTTCTGAGTGAAATCTATGGGACATTTTAAAGCGATTGCGTCGTTGTTATAGTAATTCCAGAGCAGCCTCACCTGTTGGTCAGTAATCTTTATTCTTTTCATTACTGTACCGCTTGTCGGATCTTGCCGTTCTACTTTTTTGTAGACCTCATCTATCAACGTCTATTTGATGCAAGTGAAGGCATTCTGTGTGTTGTGATTCCAGGTGCGCGAAGCATTGGATCGAGCTATGAGAGGTCGTACTGTCTTGGTGATAGCGCACAGATTGAGTACCATTAGGAATGCTGATTTAATTTGCGTTATCAAGGATAAAACGGTCAGTGGTGAAACTTTTGAAAGTACATTTTGCTTTTTTGTTTTCAGAATGCTTAAATGACCATTTCAGGTGCGGGAGCAGGGTACGCATGACGAGCTAGTCAGTAGGAAAGGTGTCTACTACAACCTGATAAAATCACAATTCGAAGGCGCGTAAGCTTCCAGCAGAAGGTGCATCACGTCCTATAGTTGCTCTAGGTCTTAGTTTTTGTTATCCGTCTTCTAGATGTTTAAGTCGTCTGTTACTGTAGACTCTGTTTCTCGTAGCTCAACCTGTCGTGATGACAGATTTAGTAAGGCATGGCATAAAATAGCACCAAAAGCGTAAAAAAGAGTGGATATCTACTTTTTCTAAGAGGTCGCTATGTGTGTCTGAGTCTGCAAATAAGAAACGTCTCATCGCTGAAAACCGAGTTTCTATGTTTTTAATCATAGCAGCCGTTTTAGAGGTTTCTGGGGTAAAGAAATTGGGGGTGAGTCTCTTGCGAAGCTGGTCTGGGATGGTGAGAACGAAATCACAAAATGTTTCCAAACAGGCAGGTCTTCTGGAGACGTAACTACTTTCTGTTTGCTGAAATTCCTATGGCATTGATGCACTTATAACCAACCATTCTTCACATTACAGTCATAATTCACAGTTATGACAAGCAACAATGAAGACGTAAAGTTAATATGAAAATGAGGTAAATATTGCCTCAAGCAGGATTGTACAGATTGTAATCAGTTTGGTGCTCTGTGCGTCCATGAACCATGGTGTTTAAGGCCTCAGCGCTTACTTCTTTGCAACTGACTCCCACTTCCCTCCATTTGTCCATTTGGTGGTTTGTCTCGGTTAGTCTCGATCCTAAGCTATTCCTGGCTGACCATCTACACTCAGATCATCAGCTCTAGAAATTATTCAGATACTTCATTATGCGTTTCGACGTGCCCCGATGCATCCGATTTCCACCCGTGGTCGCAGAGGCGTGAAATTGGTGTCTGACCTATACGGCGCCTAATGTGGGTGGGCAGTTTTCCAAGTCGCCTTTTATTTCTTCTTTCCAGCCCCCACCTTAGAGCATCTGTCAAACTATTTGACCAACCGGGATGGATGGTGGTTTTGCTGAAATTGGTCAGTTTCAAGCTTCATGTAGGGGGACGCTTAGACATTCGCGTTTGTGCTGCCTTTGCACAGCGCCGCTTCTCAGACTGAAACTTCAGAAGCCGGTTTTAAACGGTTGCCGCGAACAAATGTGCTAATTATCAAGTGTAAGGAGCTTTGCAGTTGTTGATTTTATCCCTATTGTTACCGTATCGCTTTCTGTGGATCCAGTAGCTGTTGTATACCTCTAGGTATCAATCTCGATGTCTCAAATTAATTCATGCATTTATTTTGCTGTGATAGGTGTGCTCTTCGTAGAGTTTTATTAGAGATTTATTAGTTTCATTACGTTGCTCAATGAGAAAAGCGCAATATAGGCATAGTTAGTGTGGATTGTATTAGATTAAACTTTTATACAGACTCAATAAAGCAGTTGCGGAGAAAGATCGCATTGAAATGTACGTATTCATACCTAGTATCCAGATTCCACTACTGGTGCCGCCGGTCCAGCAGGTGCTGTCATTTGAACGGCTTGAGCCTCCTCTTCAGGAACCATAGCCGCCAATGTTGTCAACTCACTTTCAGCATTGTAAGGCACTTGGGTTGGCATCACAGGCTCATCACCATATGAATTATCACCGGCTTGTCGTTTAGCCCTGTAACCGGAATCGACGACAGCAGATGGACCTGCGGGAAGGGCATTCATGACGGGTTGCGCTTCTTCTTCCGGTACGGCTATGAGTGTGGTTGCCTCGACAGCAACGTATGGCCCCATCGTCGGTGGCAGAGAGGGCTCATCCCCATACGTATTGTCACCGGCTTGCCGCTTTTCGACTAAAAAGGCTATGCATTGGCTCCACTTAGGGAACAGAAGATAAGAGCTGGACGTACCTGATCGGGTGCTAACAAGTGAGATAGTGAGCAGAAAGACAACAACGACACCGTCGACGGGATTCATTCTGAGAGGTCTGACGTTGACGTTAGTGTGTCATTGTCCTTTTATAGTCACAAGTGGCACAAGGTTTACACGAGACGAGAAGAACCTGATCGAAACGAATGCGATGAGGAGCGACGGAGGAAATTGCGGCATTGAGACAAACGGCAAAAAACCAGTGTGTTCGTAGTGAACGCGCCCGCGTACTACTTTCAGTTTCAATGATTTCCATACAGTTTTTTCCTCTAAAGCACTATTCCGCACTATGTGAATGACGACCCAACGCCCTCGCCGCCGAAACTGGAGCGCGAACTTCGCCTTCACCTTGGGAACGCGAAGCATTATGATGGCGCTGGACCCTATTTGGGACAAACTCGTTTAATTGGATGTTCGTTGGTGGGCAAAAGTGCTATCTCTAGAAGACACTTCTCGAGCCTAAAGCCAAAGATTCAGATCGGTATTTACATGTTTTTGACCACTGAAGTGGATTATTCAGAAATTTTAACCCTAAGCTAAGGTAAATGCTACAGTAATCCTCAAAAAAGTTCACCGCTATGCTTTTCCGTGCAATCTTTTTTCCTCGAAAAGAACTGAATATTTGCTGAAGGTTTTTTTGAATATCTTAAAATTTCAGGACTTAAAAATTTTAAAACACCGGAGGACACGAATAGCATCAACATTTTGAGCGAATTGTACGAGTATGAAAAATTGGTGCACGAAAAATAGCCTCAGCGAACTTTTTTGCCGCTGTTGTCTCAGGATCATTAGCGATTTTTGGGACAGTGGCATTGGTATGGAAACCGGGTACTCAGCATCCCATACAAAAAACCACAATCTTTCCTTCGTTATACATAATACAAACCAATACGTTGCTTAGTTATTCGAGCAAGCGCTTGCGCAGGTATAGTGACCGCCGTGTTTGATTCCACAAACGTAATTTCCCCGAAGCTTTCCACATCAGTTTTATTGTTTACTGTTTATTTATGAATTTGTGCTTGAGGAAAATGCAAGAAACACGAAGATAAACACCTCTTTACAAAAACTGTAGACAGGTTCAATAGAATCTGAAATATCATGAGACATTCAGCAATTTTTCCTTATTCACTTATAAAAGCCGGAATGATGGACACGCTATTAATACCGTACCTTTAAGAGTTTGTGTTAGTGATTCTAGTTTTGAAATTTGCATAAATTGCTAAATCAGATGGAACATGGGTAAGCGAAAGTTGACCGGGAAATGGGGAAATTTCATGGAAGTGTAGCTGAATGCGAACCAGAAGAATATCAGTAGCTTGATGACGACATGTTGACCCAATCCAGCCCCAGATGGGAAAAGTTGGGATGGCGGACTATTGCAAAAAATTTATCCATAAATATAGAGCCGGTAAGAACACATAGAGCCGGACGCGACGGTACGAACACATAGGCCCTTCACAAGGGTGTTACAGCAAAATTTCTAATGTTGTAATTTGGACCAAGCCACTAACTAACTTATTCTGCGATAAGAACACCAGTGGAACGAGCTCTTGAAGTTCAGTTCTAGTTTCAACACATTAAAATGAAATGTACGACGGCAGGAAAAGCCACAGCTATGGTGAGGGGATCTGGTCCTGATCAGAAGCAACCAAACCCACCGAAATTTTTGAACCCGTTCGGCTGCATCTATAAGGGGTATTTGTCTTTTGGAGCAATCAGTTCTTTTTTTTTCAATAGCAGAGCCTAGAAATGTAGAAGGGTCATCAGTGGGTCTCCCATGAAATGTTTTTTGCCTGCCGGAACTTCAGGGCATACTTCTCCAAGTGGTACCCAGTTGGATTGACAAAATACAGTGACACTTCTCGGTAAGAAGCAAATCCAATTTCACCCACGAACTACTACCCACCCACTAACCACGCTAACGTCCTCGGTCTATTATACCGATTTTTTTTACTACTGCACTGATGTGAAAAGCGGCAACCTGATGTGAATAGGCAACGCGTTGGTTCCAATCGATTCAGAGTTTAGGAGGACAGCCAGTCTCTATGAACTTATTTGATATGCTGAATATTAACAGTTTTTGCTGAGCATTGTTGGTGTGGCATTTTGTCACAACCTTTCAATTTCGGATGCAAACATGTGCATGGCTGATCCCCGATCTGCTTTCAGCTCACATGGGTAATTTTCAAATGCTTTTGATGGAACTTCTACGCGACTCCTATCACGCACATATCCTTCATATCAAGCGGCGAGGGATGACAGTAGCATAAGTGGCAATAACACCAGAGATTTACGCACCTTTGGAATTTGTTTGCCCAGTCCCTAGTGTTCAAACCTGTTTCTATAGGAATGGATTTGCTATGGCAAACCTGAGCGTACAACTTACAAGGGATCGAAGGCTTGTACCGTAGTCGCACACCCTCAAGCGCTCAAAGGATTACTTTGAAATAACTTTTATGAAATGCGATGTCGAAAGTTCCGAGTGAAGTGCAAAGCTGAACAGGTGAGTGTCATTAACATCCAGGACAGATTTGTAGTTCCACCAATAAAACCAATTTGACGATCCCCACCCACTGCACAAACGCTGCCCCCGTGCCCTAATTGAGGTGTTCTGCAATTTGTAGAACGGCATTGTAGAACACCTCAATTAGTGCCTGTCCGCTCGAAAAAAATCGTGCTGTGGGAGTCCAAAATTTCCCACGTAGGAATGTAAAGGTTTTTAGGTGGTAACTTTTCAGAGGAGCTTTTTAAATAAAATGTTAAAAAAATGCAATTACAATAACACTAAACGATGGACACACGTTCAGAAGTCCATGGTCTCTCCGGAACGCTTTTAAGTGTGCACATTCTTATTTCCCGACGAAATACGCACCATTTGGTTTTTCACCCGATAACGGGTTGAGAGGCGTTTTTGGTCTTCGAGTCGTCAGGACTTCCTTTCGAATACATCCTTTTTCAGAAGCTTTATCAAGGTCGAATAAGGGCATCGAGATTGCTTTTCTGAAAGGCCCATTACGTTTAGAAATGGCATCGTAGTTCTTTCTCTTTTACGTAATGCGTATTGCGCTGACTCATCTAATGGACAGGCACCGGTCTGCTTCAAGGGAAGGTGCATTCAATCGCATAATTCTGGAATCTGAAGGTGATTAAAACATGAGAAGTATGAATGGTAACTGTCCGACATTGATCAAACTCTTTTTGTGTTACGCCATACATTCTACATCCACTTAGGGTCGTGGTGATGATTGAATTGACTTCACCAACAATAATCGGTGGAAGGGGGCCCAGCCGACCTATTATTCAGTGTTTTCGCCTTCTCAGCGGATCAGATGCCAATCAAACGAATTAAAATGGAGAGATTCGGATGTTTTTAGCGAGATTTGAACTGGGACATTACCTTCTGCACCGTGCACATGGTCCATACATAGCACTATGTACGTGCGGCTCCCTGTCACCAGCCCCGCCGCGGGAAATTCCTTGAAATCTCAGTCAGAAAAATGATGCTCCAAACGTATGAAGGAGTGACTGCCTGATAGTATACAGTAAAAAAAAGAGAGAACGCGCTGTGTCGGAAACAGGGACCGCCTTTTCTCGTTCTGATGGGGGCACTGTCGTAAGATAGGGGGCATTCTAGTGGCGATACCTTTCAGACCACGTAAAATATTTCCTTTATGTCACAATGCTGCTAACTAAAGAAGTCTTCCAAAAATGCCCAGCCTTCTCGAAACGATTTTTGCATGATGTAGAGGTACGTGCACGGAACACATACTAACTGTGGTTCATTTTTCATAACTGACCTTCTGAATGCCAAAAAAAGCGAAAAAAATTCCTTGAAGGAACTGCCGTTCTTAACTTTCTTCACCAGTTTTTTAGCCAAGTCTACGTATAAGGTTGCTGATGGTCCTAATTATAGATATGACATAAGTTGTTTCCGCTGACGCTATTTTTCGCGAATTTTGAAACGCCAACACAAAATGCAAAAAATTGTCACTGCGAGGATTCGAACCACGGACCACTTCATCACCCCTTTTTTGGTATTCAGAGGGCCGCTCAGGAAAAATGAACACAGTTCTGTGTTCCATGCACGTACCCCTATATCATGCAAAAAACCGTTTTGAGAAAGCTGGGCATTTCCTGAAAGACCTTCCTCGTAAGGCTTCGGCGAGGGGGAGAGTCCTCAGGGTACATGAGTAGTTTCATTTTCTCCGAAGTTCCTGCCCTGATCGCCCCACCATCTTATATTTGGTCCGGATGCCCCCGTATCTGGCGATAGCGCCCGAACGAGCTTACGGCTAAGATAATGTTAGCCCGGACGAACATCATGCTAAGCAATGACTCGTAATTGCGCCGGTAGTTAACATGCAGTTGGCTGCTTCTTATCCTCTATTATATGAACCGCTAACTTGGTGTGTCGATTTGTGCAGTCTACATACGAGAGCTGGGGTAGGCGCGCCACCAGAAGTGACGTGGCTGCTGCCGCACTTGATAGAAGTTGTGGATAAGCTGCTGCCAGCATGCTTTGGCTCTTAGGACCCAATATCAATGTTTTGCAATGGCATGATTGTGATAACACCCAAGGGCTATATAAACACCTACTTAGCACACTTTCGGTCATTCCACAAGGTGCTGCAGTGGCAGCTGGAGAGCAGTGGAGGAGGAGGGGAGGATAAGGAGAGTGGAGGATACAAAGCCTACCAGCGAGGTTCCGGCGGTTGCCTGGAGGCCTGTTGAGTTAAAATTCACTTTGGAATAAAAATCGAGAAATAAAGATAAAGGTGCCAAATAGAAGATACTGCTCTTATGTTCCCTTACACATCTTCAGATTGTACGGAATGGGACGTTCATTGGGAATCTTCTTCAACGCCTCATCACGCACTACGGAGCGAGCTATCTCGCCGTAAAGGCTCCTGTTATTCTCATGTTTATTTGGGCAAACCTCTATTCTCTCCACTAAGCAATTTCCACATAAACACCTATTTTGTGCGCGTGTGGTCATATTAAGATTAGAAGGAAAGTCTGATAAAGAAGAAAAGTAGGAAAAAACTCAG